GCAGTGTTTTGAAAGCAAGCGAATAACCGTAGTTTTCCTAAACCCTAAAAAGTGTAACAATAGTATATTATTCAACGAATGAGAAAGTTAGCCACTTTCCCCAAGATGAAATTTACGATACGGGCCGAAGACGAGTGGAGTAATTCTGAGTGGAAATAGTCATTTCTCACAAGTTTAATACTATACCCTTCTAATCTTAAATAATAACAGTAATATTTTAAAGTGAAACTTTTATTTCAAAATTTTTCGTACATCTATCGCAAGTCGCATTACAACCGCAGGTAAAGTGAAAGGCGCTCGGCAGAGTGTGTATTGATCCGAAAAAAAGTTTCACTTGCATCGTGGTTTCTTTAAACCATAGCAGTTTTTTATATGTTTTTTATTATCTATTTATCTTCACAATTGAAAATTAGAAGCTTTAATAATAATTTTCTCAACTGAAAACAGTGGGAAAAGTAACAATTCTTTAACATGATTAGAAAAAAAAATCTCTTATTGTAATTTTCGGCTTATCTGGTCGTTGTTTTAACGGTTCAGTGAGTTATTTCAGCTTATCATATAAATTTAGTATTTCAATAAATGATAGTGAAATGGATTTATTTTATTATTTTATTTAGACTCTCGATACATTCAATAAAAGTTTCTCTTCATTCAAATACCAATTTAAATCAACTCCTATCTTATTTTCTGAATATAGAAAATCGCATTATGAAAATAATTAAAACGTCAGCGCTTCTAATCTGTTATTGGCTTCGGATAAGATTTTTAGTATAAAAACAAAAACTCGCATTGTAATCAATACCTCAGCCAGTGGCGCAACGAAAGAAAGAAAATCTCCTAAAATTTCGACAAAAATCGAAAAAATTAAAAACTTCAACATAGAACTGTTTACACTCTTGGTTCAAGAGACTTAAGAAAGTACAAAAAACGTTGCAAAAATGTAATGAACAAGTTTGTTTTTTTTTTCTTTTGGAAGTTTGTATGATGAATAAGGTCCCGCTTTCCGGCAGGTAGGTACGGGGTTCGAGCCCCGCTCAAGTTAGCCATTTTTTACTAATTCAAATTAGCAATAGATGGCGGGCGCGCACAAACGTTATCTTCTAATGAATATAATAAAAAAGAGAGAGAGTATAAGAACTCAAAGCATAATAAGAAAGACATAGAGCATAAGAACAAATAAGTAAACAAAGCATAATAAAGAGAGAGCGCATAAGAGCAAATAAGAACGCAAGGTATAATAAGAAAGAGAAAAAGTATATGAACTAAAATAATCAACATTATTACCATCACAGTTTGTGCAAACTGTGAGAAATTGTTGCAGATTAACGTCTTTCATCGAAACTAAAGCAATTTGAGCTATTTTCAAGCAATTTGGGTACTACATACGTCGGATGATAAAAATTTTAACTGCCAAATATAATATGTAATAAATTAAATTTAGAAATCTCTTAATAACAAAAATTGTATAAAAAAACACGTATTACAACCTCTCATTGTGATATTCGAATGAGTTCCCGAAATTTTTTACATAGGTAAACCCCCCTTAAACTCTATCTCTGGCTGCACCACTGATCTCAGCTGAAGCAATTTGTTGATTTATTTGGGTACATACCTGAATGGTGGCCTAGTGCCAAGTTGAAAGGGTGTAAAAAACTTGTCCTTTTTGTTTTCAAACATCCAGATATTTCTTAAGGTGGCGCTTTGCGAAAAAGTGCTGTTTTTGGTCAAGTTTAACTACAGACATCTAACAAATTATAAAAGATACACCTTTAGCTAATCATTTACCAAATTTTATTAATGTACTTAAACATACAACTGATAAAAAAATCGTAAAGTTTCTTTGTTTCGAACACTTCATCGAGTTAATCTTGAGAACCGTAATACGTAGACAAATGGCACTTGGACCACATAAAAACGCAAAAAATATCTATTCAAATTGCCTACTTCCGGAAAAATTTGACTTTTAATTAAGAAGAAAAGAATTTTTACATTTTACAGTTGATCGATATTTTCTGTGGCGAGACTATGTAAAGATAAAATTTGCTGCTTACGATCTATTTAACTGAAATGAACGTATATTGTGATGAATGCTGAAACAGTTTCAGTTGAAATGAGAGTTTGAAATCCTGAAAAGCTTTTTGCTGAAGAATTAAGAAAGTACTTCAAAATAATGAGAAACTTTACTAAATAAATTGAAAAATAATTTGTTTGGATTTAAATGTACAACACTAAATCTTTATTTATCAAAATAGAAATGGTGAAAGTGCGTAAACACAGACCACAATTTATGTAGCAATCAATTTTAATTTGGTGAGAAATTATTTTCTCTATTTTCTTAGATCTCGTGGTAGGATTCAACGTAATTAGCAATTTTCTCTTAAGATATCATAAAAATCCGGAATTGTTTTAATCTTAATTTTTAAAGCATTTTTAAAGTTAAAGTCTTTGGCAGTTCAACCTAATTTAGAAAGAATTAAATATTAAGCAAGGCTAAACTATAGCTTCAGATGAATATAAACCGATAACTAAGTATTCAAAGCCCTGAAACAATACGTTTTGTGTTACAAATAGCACATTTGTAAAACCTTAGAATATGTCTTTATTGACTTTAACTACATTTAAACTCATACACATCAATCATCATAATGAGGAATAAATTTTAGCCAATTTGAACGTAGAGCTTTGCAAATAATACCCAGCAAAATCTAGCTTATCATTAACGAACAGTTCCAATTAAATTGGAATAATAAAATTATTAAAAAAGTTTTCGTCAAAACTGATTGGAAAGTTCATACAGCTGCTGCCAAGTCAGTAATAAAATCTGTTGAAGATTCTATTGTGCGCTGTATTTATTTAATAAAACGTAAATTATTCTGGTCTAGTGGTCACCACAAGTAAATTAAATTTGTTGTAATGTGGATTTTCTTAATATAAGCAACACAATAAGTACACAAAGATTCATATTCACGGCACGTTTCATTTGTTCTTTATTTGTTGACATATCTCTGTTATTTGCCAACGGATTTTTATGAAATGTAAGCAACTTAAAAAGTAAAGATTCAATTAGTATTAATAAAATTACCTTAAGATAAAAAATATAATTTTAACACATATTTTCTCAATTTAAAATTAAGCGAAACTACTAGTATATTGTTACACTAAAAAATAGACCTCTACACAACAAATGAACGAAATCACTCGTCTCAATTAGCAAAAATACGTCAATTATGTTGTTAAAATTTTGACCTAATTTTTTAAAGAATTTTATTCTTCAATACATACTGTCAAAATTTACGGTTTTTCCCGTGTAAGGAAGTTTTGACAACTGTTTGGTACTTCTCAGTACAAAACGTCATATTATTTTAACAGATTTAAAGCAAGTTTAAGCCTTGTTGAGTCTAATTCGGAGAATAAAATATTGTGTTTAACTCGTTTGAGTGTAAATCAGACGCTTTATTCCACCTCGTGGAAGTTAGAACACCTTTAGAATCTTTAGAACCATATGATGCCAATGGTGGTACATACCTTCGAGGCACCTTTTATTGTACTGAAGTAGTTAACCCAATAAATGCAGTTCCTAAATTACGTTATTAATTTTTTAAAGTTAGAAAAACAATAAACGTCAAATATTAACGTCATTGCCGCCTGACAGTCAGGAGTGATTAAAATTCGGTAATATCGTTCTTGTTTTTTATATCCGCTCATGTTTTTACATCTTCAGCCACTTTTTACGCACTTTTATTCTTTTTTCTTGTAAGCGGGACCTCTTTTAAAGACAAATTTTTCTTATGTCATTATTTATTGGCGATTATCAATTTAATATAAATTTTAAGAAATTTAGCAATTTTAAAAGACATGTTGAAATTTATTTATTGGCGATTATCAATTTAATATAAATTTTAAGAAATTTAGCAATTTTAAAAGACATGTTGAAATTATACATTTTAAGAACTAGGGTTGTTTTAGTAATGCGATATTAATCTCTACCCACCTACTACATTTTCTACATTTTAAAATCTTGATTTTAAATTTCGTCAAAATATGTTGTCAAATAATAGTGTATAACAACTAATTCTAATAAGATGTTTTTTCTGTAGTAATAAACAGTCGGCTTTTACAATCTTTAGAAGAAAGCTGAAAAATAATACGGTTTATCCAATATCACCTCTTATACACGGTGATCAAAAGCTGTCGGATAATCTCGTTGATTTCTTATAGTAAATTTTCTAAAAAAATACAAAAAAAAAATTAAAAAATTCTGTAAACCGAAATTTAGAAACTAAAGCTTCAAAGCTGATGAATAAATTTTAAAATTCTGGTCTATGTTAATTTGTTACCTTTTCTAAAACATAGAGAATTAGTGTTCTAACGTACTTTACCACAGGTTTTCAGGAGGGTAGAAAATGGTACTTATTAGAGACAATAAACTTTTACTTAAAGTTAACTTTAGTAAAATTCTTTTTAGGATTCTGAATTGGTAACTTGCGTTTACATAGTTACAAACGAGGCCGGTAGGTAAAATTTACTAGTAGTAGCCTGTCTACCGGACTAATTTGTAACTATGTAAACACTACTTCAATTTTCGTTTTCATGAATTTTTGTTTAATTTGAAAGTAATTGTTGCAGTATTCTATGTATACGACCGGTAGCATTTTTATGGCTATGCCAAACATACAAAAGTATTGACGCGGCCATAAAAATGTTGCTACCGGTTTAATACCCTAAATAGCTAATCAAAAATTAGGTCAAAATTTTAACAATATAATCTACGTATTTCTGCTGATTCAGATTTAGTTAAGTAAAGATCTCTTTTTAGCCATAAAGTACTTGTTTCAAATTATTAATTCATCTACACGCACATAATAGAAAAATGGATTATACTAAAGGAACCAGCTGAGACAGTTGAAGGAATAGTCTCCATAGCCGGTGTCATAACGACAAACTAATAATCACATAAAATACCCTAACAACGTATTTTTTGTTAAACATTACAATTGAACTTGACTTTGAAATGCAAAATGTCTATCAAAACACTGGTACTTCATCTATTTTCTCTCGGGTGTATTACAGTTTCTGGCCAGCCAGTACAACTCGACAAAGGTGTTCATCCCTACGTAGTGTTCTTTCATTATGACAAAGTCGGTGACTACAATATTTCTATAATGGAAGCAAATTTGAAAACATATTATCCCTCCTGTGGAACAATCATCCATCACGCTTATGTCCTCACTGCTGCAAGCTACTTTATCACCCTTCCCAAATTAAACGCTTCTGAATGGAGAATTAGTGGATATCATGAGAACGCGGTGGGTTTGAATGTAGACCATCTTTTGTCGATCGAAACATTGGAATTTATCTTCCATGAATGTGAAAATTACAAAAAATTATAACTCAAAAGTAAAAAAAAACTCTTTTTCAGCTTTTACTCCTACTTCCGATCCTTATGTTCCATACAATTTATGTTTGGTAAAATTGAAAAGAACGAAAGATACTGCGCCGTTAACTTTCCAAGCACAAATCTCATGGCATGTCAAATATTCAAATAATAGAAAAGCTTATCCAGATCAACATGTTAGTACAATTTCGATTGTCTACTGGTCATTTCAACTTAGTACAAAAACAGTGGTAAAGTACCAGTACGACTTTGAACCCCATTGGGTATGGGAAATTGGAGACCACCCATGTGAACATGTACATGATAAAGTTGGTACTGCTTTATATTGTTTAAAGAAGCCGACAGATACGTTTGGAAAACATTACCCATGTGCCTCCAATACTGTCACCGAAGGTGCCCCTATTCTAATCGATTCTGAGGTGAACGGAGTCTTTATTGGAATATCGACACTTAAAAAATGTAACCTACCCATTACCAGCCCGAAAGCAGGTGCTCTGCCCGGTATAGGAGTTGCTGTTATCAACAGTTACCAAAAAGTGTCTCCGGAACATAAGATTGCACAGGATTTTTTAAAACGTACAATTGGTACTGAATATAATTACACCGACGAAGATCTTGGATGGAAAATAAAAACGAATGGAAAAAGAAATATATCGCTACTAGCAGAAGAAAAAGATAATGCAGACATTTTTGGTTACAAGTACAGAAATCTGCCAAAATGTGTGATGGATGGAAGTTCCGACTTGTTGATTCAAAAACTTGTAATTATTGGTGGAGTGTTTTTTTCCTTATATGTTGCAATTCATTTTAGTTATTTGTTTTAAAATTTTTGTACAATAAATAAACCTTATTAAAAATCACTCAAACATCCTTATTTTTTGGGTGTCGCAATCACGAACGTCTAATAAATTTAAGAAATCACATCTAACGATGCATTCAAATCGATTTTACAGTTTTTTTCGTCCAAAGTGTAAAATTATCCACACAACAGTGTAGTGATGTAATTTTATATTGTATTCGTTTTTTGAAGCAAATGCGTAAAGGCAATATTTAAGAACCTTTCTTGTATCAAAGAGCATTCGAGTCCCTTTGAAAAAGGTGATAAATTAATTAATTCCTTGAACTGCGGCTTTCAGATTAATCTAGACATATGTCTGTCCCTTCTGGGCAATAGTTGTCCATTTTGACTGATTTAGAGGCGGTATAGTTCGATCACTTAATTAATCCGCCTCGTCTCGTAAAAATTTATTGTGGCGTAAAAACCCAAAGCTCGACCCAGCTTTCATAAAGAACGTCCAGTCAAAATAACACAAAATACTTTCATATGAATATTCACGCCGACGCTTAGTTTTAAAAAGTTACACCAAACAACTTTGTGTCTAAATCATCTCGGATTTTTTGACGTATTTAACGCTCGACGAAAAAGCTCGAAGAAAACGACGCAAACGTGCCTCCACAAGAAATCTTGCAAAGGGATGATTTAAATTCCGGCGACGTTGCTCGACAATGTTGTTTCCTGTTCGCGAACATATTTAAATAAAACTTGTCGATTCCATACAAACATGACAGGAAAATTAAACGACAGCAAAACGACGAGTATCATCGTAGAACTAATTAAAGTTGAGGAAGTGAAAAGCGCGAATCATGCAGAGATGTGTAACAAGATCGCTGAAAAAGTTTGAAGGGTTGGAGATAAGTGGTTCATCCTTACATGTCCTGGAGGAAGTTGACACGACACGTACAGAACAAATAGCCAAGTGAAAATGCAGCCACAGTTTGGCGAAATAAATATAGGGAGTGGAATTATTTCATTTGATGGTGAATGGTCGTATTTTTTAATTTTAATTTTATTTCACATACGTGGCTGAGAATTTTCGTTTTAGAGCACAGAAGCGTGAGCTTTGCACATTACACGATAATTTAACTCTACCTGGAAAAACGTGCTTTTTTATCATGTCACATTTTAGTTTTTTGATAATAACCTGGTTAAACAGAGAGAAGCGAGTCGCAAAACTAGAAATAGTTTCATCATCAACTAAAATGATGTGTTATTGACTCTCTGAGATAAGATCTGTTAAAAAAATGAGCTGGTTTTAATTAGATAAACCTAATTTCTGTACTCCTCAAAAACTGTATCTGGGGGTTCTAGAAAAACGCATTTAAAACTTCACAGTTTTGACAATTTTTACTTTTTAAACCCCGATTACAGCGAAACTAGAGCAAATAGCGCAAAATGCTTGGCATCTTGGCAAATTCGTAATCAGCGCGTCAAATCTGTCGGATAAGATAGGTTTAATAGAATATGAGACATGTCCAGAAAAGCCATTTTAAAAATTTTCACTCGTTTTTATTTTGTTAATTCCGCCTAAAGTATAATGAAAATACTTTATGTTTTGTATTAAACCTATGTAAAATGTTCCGGGAAGTTTATTGATGTCAAGACACTGCAAAATTCTTGATAGTTTAGAAGTTATCGAATAGATATTTTTGTCTGTACCAACGATTTTCTCAATAACTACTTATCGCAAAAGTATACAAGATGTTCCGTTTTTATTGTTACAAATTTAAACAGGTGATAGAATATTCTATTTTTGGATAAAAGTTTCCTATGAACATGTATCAAAAAATATTATATAAAGGAGCTACATACCCTCAAAGGAATGCATTTAATAGATTTTTTTCAATATTTTGGAAACCATTGTAGATAAAATTACAAAATTTGGTACAACTGATAACCTTGAGGTATACACCCAAACGAATTAAAAAAAAAATTACAAAATTTTTACTCAGGGGAAAAAAGCACCATAACTATTTTGCTTTTTGGTTCTTGCCACTTTCAACCACGAAATTCCAAATTTCATAGTTTTTTCACAAAAAATAAATCTCTTACATTTTTTCGATACAACTTACGATTTTTGGGTAAAATCAGTTTACAATTTGTCTTAAAGAGAATAAAAATTAAATTAGTTTTACTGTTTAAGACGCCCCTGGTTAAAAGTTTCGACAACTGATCTTTGAATTCGTTTAGGTGTTTAAAGATTAGCAGCTGTATAAACTTTTGTAATTTTATTTATTCTCCAAAAGTGGGAAAATCCCATTAAAAACGCATTTCTTTCAGGGGGTAAAGCTCGTTTACATAACATTTTTTATACATGTTTATTAAAAAAAACTTTTGTCTTAAAATTAAATATTCTATCACCTGTTTAAATTTGTAACAATAAAAACGGATCACCCATATAAGTATAATAAAGTCAATTAAAAAAATATTTAGCGCTTAAAATCGTTGAAAAACTAAAATTATGCAAGAGTAAACTACCCTTCCAAGAAGGGTGAGAGATTGAATAGTGGTGGCAGCAAGTGAGGCAGATAGTCCTCAAGCTATGTGTAAAATATTGTCAAATTAAAAAAAATATTTAGCATTTAAAAACGTTGGAAAACTGAATTTTCGTAAGAGTAAACTACCCTTCCGGAAAGAGAGAGGGATTGATCTTTAGTGGCATCAAATGTGGCTACAAAAGTCCAATAAATTTACGTAAAATCTTTAAGTTTTATTTTCTATATTAAAATTACAACCTGTTTAATTATTTGGCAGCAAAATATTAGGCAGACCCCATACTTAGTTTCATTTGCTCTGCTATTTTGTAATAATAAGACACATATTAGTTATTTGTAAAATAATTTGCGTAAAGAAACATTTATGATTTTTTATATTCTTTAGTCATTTAGTATCAGAATATGTCAACACCAAAATTACAATGTAGTATCATAAAAATTTGTTACAAAAATTTCATCGCAGGGGAACTCCACCGTAATCAAACCAACCAAACCTATCCTATCGCTCCGTCTCACTCGCATACCAATGTCAACGTGACTTTGCAACATCCTTGTTTGTTTCCAGCAACCTGTACAAACGCAACTCCGCTGAAATATGAGCCTCCCGACGCAAAATAAGTCGGTTAATATTGTGAAAAACCGCGATGAAGTTGTAACAACATTAGCAAACTTAATCAAACAAGTCTCCAATGACCGCATTCTGAAACAGGGAGTTTTTAATGTCGGCGTTTCAGGTAAGTGCCCAACAAATCGATTTAAATACAACCAGGATTACTTCCAGGTGGTTCATTGGTCGGGTTCCTCAAAGAAGGTCTCCCTAAAATCCAGACAGATTTCAGCAAATGGCGGATTTTCTTCTGTGACGAGAGAGTTGTCCCTGAAGACAGCCCCGACTCGACTTACGGCCAGTACAAACAACTGATGTCCGCGCTTAATCTAAAGGAAAACCAATTTATTAGAATCAAACAAGGAGTTTCTGGTAAATCCATAACCACCTGTTGCTGACACCAGATAACAGAGTTCTCCTCTAGCTGAAGATGCAGCCGAGGATTACGTCCACAAGGTGGCGCACCATTTCTCTCAAGCTGCTATTCCCAAATTTGATATGTTACTATTGGGAATGGGGCCCGATGGTCACACTTGTTCTCTATTTCCGGGGCATAAGTTATTGGAAGAGAAGAGTAAATGGGTTGCGGCTATTACAGATTCCCCTAAACCACCCCCAAGTAGAGTTACCCTTACTTTTCCGGTGATCAACAACGCCCTCTATTGCGTTTTTGCAGTTTGTGGTAAAGAAAAAGCAGATATGGTCAAGGTTGCTACTTGTAATTGTTGTTTTTTGTTTGATTACTATTGTTTGTGATTGTAGAGAATTCTTGTTGATAAGGAAGACTTGCCGGCTACTAGAGTTAAGCCTACTAGTGGAACTCTTGTCTGGATCATGGATGAAGACGCAGGGAAGTATTTAAGTGGACATTAATTTTACTGTTTTTATTTTATTTTTATATAAATACAATACAGAGGTATAATAAATACCAGTTTATTAAAATATTAAGTACATCACAATCGTCCTCTTCCTATAATAATCTCAATCTTGGAAAATACACAGTATCAATATTAAAATTGTCATTTAGTAACAGAACATGCCTTCTTTGGTAGAATTTAACAACATCGAGAAACGTTTAGACTTTAAAACTTACATAAATGTGTCAAAGAAGCCACATGAGCGTCAAGAGATTGAAAAAAATTTCGTAAAGTTTCCATAAATTAACGATCCACATTCAACAAGTTTGTTAAAGCCTATTCAAGTATTCTTACAGTAATAATCTGTACAAATAAATAGACAAAGCAATCAAGATTGCTAGAAATATCGTTTGCCCGTGACCCGGACAAAATGAGAGGGAATTTTATAATTAATAATAAATAATTTGTTCCTAAAATGCTCCTACATCACGTCATATTTACTCCGAGTAAGCGACTCGAGTACTCGTAAACGACGTAACTTATGCTTACTGCGGGCATTACTTTGATAAAGTTCGGAGTTATGCCTCGGTACAGTCCTAACACACCTTCTTTTTCTAATATTGTTTTGAAAACCCCAGTCATTGTTATCGCCGAGGGGTCCATCGACGGATGCGCCACTGGAACAAAACGGACAAATCAACACCAAGAACAAGGACAGTGATGACGTAAACACATCAATCGATTTTATTAGTTAATAATTCAACGATGAGTTGAATTTATTTTATTTGTTAAGAGTTATTACTTGGAATTTACCTTGTGCTTGCAACCTCGTCCGCACCAGTGCCAAAGGATAAGAACACATTTGACCTAGAGTACTCGAGACGCTGCCACAGGCCAACAACATCCAAAAGCTGGGCTGTTCCAAGTTGGAATGAGTCTTCAAGTACTTCTTTTTCAACGTTTCATACACAGCCAAATCGATACCGGCGTACGGTATAATACCCAGAATATTCGGAATGTAACCTCTATAAAAACTACCAATGCCTTCGAGATGATAGATTTTAAAAGCGGCATCCATGATACTCTTATACTGTCCCGTTTTACGTAACGCTAATCTCGTCTTCATTACTTCCAAAGGATAAATCGCCGTTTGACTAATCCCTCCCGCTAACGCCCCCGCGCAAAACCTTTCGTAAATGCTGAGCCCCGTTTTGGAATCGCCTTTGATCAGTCGTTTAATCTGCTCGTAGGCGGCAAATTTAATTGCAGATTCCGGAGCGATTTTCACCACGTTGATGCCGTTGCCCCGCCAGAGGCCTGTGACGCCGCCCTCTTTCAGCATGTAGTTGAAGCAGTCGCCGATTCTCTGCTTCGTTGGTTGGACCTGAACCAAAAACAACATAAGTGCCTAAATCACAACCAAATTCGGGGATCCCTACCTGAAGGAACACTTTGAGTCTGTCCAAAGGGGCGGTGCAAGTCCTCGAGACGGCGCCGGCGATGCCTCCCGCCGCTAAATGCCTCCACCACATCCCTGTCTGCATTTCACTCTGTGTGAAATCATCAGGGACGTTCATATCCTCCCCGATGTCCAGGTACTGGAAAGACCACAATAAGTACCATGTAAAAGGTGAATTTTTCATGATTTGTACATTGCAATGGCGGGGACTGGGGCCAAAAACCGCAAACATTTTCAAATCCATTGGGAGAATTACCGACGAACAGAGTTTCAATTTTTGACACATCGGGTTTGACAAGTGATTGACGTTGTCAAAAATTTCGACACTCAAAAGTCGTCCACGTCTTTGATCGTGATAACAAAATATCGTAAATAGTACGTTTTTTCACCTCCTGAAGCCAAGTTTTGGCTCTCTAATAACAGATTTGTTCTAAAAAGTCCTCAATTACGAAAAAAATTAAACTTTTGCAATTGTTTTTTTTTAATCTGACAAGTTACAACCACGATTTTTTTTCTTACTAACTTTTGTGAATTTAGCATAAAAATCCTTGACAATTATACTGGAACTGCTTATTTCGTGAATAGCCTTGCTTTTTGTTACAATTATTACCTATATTGTTTTTAATTAATATAGTTTCATTTTCACAATTACCAATATTTACTACATTTGCGAGAAACACTTTAAACGAAGTAATTAGAACCCACTTATTCGAGCGAATAGGCTTGTGCGAAAAGCAAACAATTCCTTACACCTACGCAAATATTTAACTTGATCGATTATTATAGTGTTTGTGACCTCAATTTTTTTTACATATTTTTGAAAGTTAGTTAACCTGTGATCTACCAAATTCTGGTGACCATACTGGATATAGTTGGTTTTCTGGATAGAAACCAGACTTTGTCCGCTCAGATTATTGTACTCGCACTTATCAATTAAAGCAATAATTCCCATAAATTGCATCACCGCTATATCAAAAGTCTGACAATATAGACGGTTCAACGATCAACTTTGTATTTAAATCATACTTCCAGTTTTGAAAAAAAATTATAAAATAAAAAACATACGCAGCGGACCGGGATAATAAAAATATCTCAAGGTTTGCATAAAAGCAATGATCAGTAACAACATGTTTAAAAATTGCCACCAATCATCGTAACTTTTAAGCAACAGGACCAGTCGCAGGTCCCCTTTTCTCTTATCAATTTGTGTCGAAAGTGAATTACAAACTGACAAAAAAGGGCAAATAATGTTATCAAAAAGTTCCGATAAGAGTGAAAGAAACAAGTCCGCTCTCGAACAATTTGAAAATTCCAGACTTATCACGTGACGTCACCATTCATACGAAATGTGATGTAATTTGCTTCCGCGCAGAGGCGACTAAAGTTAAGCTCGGTGACGTCACAATTGACCATGAGTAATTTAAACCTCCAACAAAGGTGAAATGTGAATAACTTAGGTCGCTAATTTGGGCAAGTAGACTGTTACTAACGGTCCAATTTTTGCAATGTTGGCTCAAGCTCGGTCTTATCTCTACATTCGACGCGATAAAGTTCCCATTTCCGCTTTGATACACTAATTCACACTTTCAAATTCCAATCGCAAATAATCTCTAAACCTTGTAAAAAAATTTCGAAATAGTCTGCAAATGTCAGACCTTGAGCCTCGTTTTATGGCTCGGTCCATGAGTATTTCCCCGACTGTGCTGATTCATCAGATCAAATAAATATCTAATTTCTTATTACCCCACAATTACTAAAACCCCGCTTTCTATAATTAACTTTCATTGCTTATGACTTTCTATCTTCTCATATAATTATGATTTCGCGCATGGTTACATAAACCCGGTTTAGCTAAACCTACCTTGATCAATTCCCTAAATAAATAAATGCAATCCTCCAGGACGTCCGGTATGGACGCCGGTGCTAACTCCTGTTCGTACATTTTGCTAATTATCACAAATTTCTTTTAAAATAAATAAATTAGATCACTTGAATTAACAACACAGTCACTTTTTGGTTTAGCACATGCCTCACAGCTGACCGCTGTGCGTCACTAGTGTCGAAAAAGGCGGGAACCACCTCAGACAGCTGCTAGACTATCACTGAATTAGCCAACTCAACGCTTTCATAGATATGCCGGATTAGAAAGCAGTGGGGGAAAAACACGAGGTATGTTCCGAGATCATGGTCTGGGACGGACAAAAATGCACTTTGATACAATATTTGTCTTATCAACTTGATTGTTTCCTGATCAAAGACTTGTCGTGTATTGTCGAAAATCGCAAATTGTTAACTTCAGCCAATCAAGTTATCAGGAGCTGGACACACATTTTGCGAGCTAGATAAAGCTCAACCTTTGGAACGTCGAAATGTCAAGCATTTTTGGATTAACACAGGTAGTGGCCATGCCATAATAATAAACAAACTTTCTTCGAAAGGATTATTCTAGTATGATCAACTAATCTACCTGTAAGCAAAAAAAATTCTGGAGTGCTGCTAGAGGTTACTTTAGCTTGCTTTTAGGATATAGATTTTTTTCACTGAAAATATTTACATTCAGGTGAAAAAAAAACAATATCAGTTATTTATTAGTAATCTATAGTTGGAAGTGTGAAAACAAATTTGTCTATTGTTTAGGCATTTTGTAGCAGATGGTGCAGTCTTTTATCTACATGTGGAGTTTCCGGTCGGGATTACCCCGCGGTGCAACCAAATTTGTTTGTTGCTAAGCGATCCGAATAAAAATAGTCATTATTTTGATGATAATGAAAAACAGTCACAATACATAAGAGCATAAGATACTTAAAGTTATCGCATAATGTGTTGAAATGGTTGTCGTTTGAGTTTAGCAACTTATTGTAATTTCGGACTAAAGAATAATATGGAATAATCAATGTCCAACGAATAATTTAGTCAAATCGACTGAATTACTTTACTCAGAATAATTCAGGTCATTTTGGTAAAACAGACTTTTATATCACGAAAAGAAGTTAATGCAATAAGAGAAACCAAAAGAAAAAAAAACCAAATTGATTTAAAAAAACAATGGGGCGATTTAAGCAGGGGGGGGGGGGTTTTGTTATAATCAAAGTCTACTGTAATTACTTAAGTTGGACGCAATGTCATTTTTATTAGATTAGAAAGTCAACTTCTTCAATCGAAAAATTGATCTAAAATCAGAAATTTTATAGAAAAATTTATTCAAAAATCAGCAATATTTTATAGTCGTGGATAAAGTATCTATCCTACTCGCATATAATGCTCAGATGATTACAAAACTCTAGTTCTGCTGGTTTTGAATATTATTCTTCTTGAATAATATCCATGATATGAGTAGTAATATTATTATGGATTTTTACCCATTATTTTTTGATTTATCTGAAGATAATTAAGTGCTCACATAAAGTGGAATTTTTACCCCTAATAATATACTTCTATGCATTATATGTACTCACTATTTTAATTCAAGTGTCAGTTTTTGTACACAATTATAACTTTATTACAATTATTATTACAAACTAGCAAAACTTAAAAGTGGAAAACTTTTTGGTGCCATTTAAAAATTATTGCATATTACAATTTCTGTGGCTATGAGGTAAGACTTAAAAAAAAATAATTGTGTGTGGTTATAATCCATTTACTTTGTATTGTATATTATGTAACAAATAAAGAAAGTTTAAAGTGAAAAAAGCAAAGTTAATTAATTAAAGTAATTTTTTTCTTGCACTACAGTCTACAAAAAACTGCTTATGAAAATTGTTTTAAATTTTTTTATTCTTCGACACTGTCAAAATTTACGGTTTTTCTCCCGTGTAAGGAAGTTTTGACAACTGTTTGGCATTTCTCAATACAAAACGTCAAATTATTTTTAACAGATTTAAAGCAAGTTTAAGCCTTGTTGACTCTAATTCGAAGAATAAAATGTTGTATTCCACTCGTTTGAGTGTAAATCGGACGCTTTATTCCACCTCGTTACGCTCGTGGTTTAAAAATCCACTCGGTCAAATAAAGAGTCCGATTTACACTCAAACTCGACGAATAAATAACTAATATACTATGTAGTAGTAAGCGTAAAATTTTCACCATACTTTTAATATACGTTCTTTTATAAATACCCTGTATTTTTAGGTAGTTTAACGGTTTAACTTGCACTTTGCTATCCTTCGAAACAGTAGTCTTAGACTTGAAAAATTTTAAATAAAGTTTAGCAGAAATTAGATTTTTCAAAGAAAATATGGCCAACTGAATCATAAAATTTACTATTTTCTTTATTCAAAATTTATTTCATCAGATTTTAAAAATCGAAGGTGCTAAACTGTTTGATGTTTTTACTGTTCTACCATGAGATGACAAGGATTGTAAGTCTAGTGTTTATTCATATGGCATTGCTACAATAACTCCATCATTAGAATTACACCACTTCACCTTTCTTTTATTAAGACGTAAACAATAAAAGTTAAATCGCAAATTGCATGTCACAAAAACAATTTTCGAGTATTTATACCAAATAATAAGCAATATCCAATTTTGATCCAATTGCAATCTGTATACAAACATTAGCACCGGCTCAGATAATGTTCACTGCCTCATCAAATGAAATTTTGCTCAAAGTTATTGATTATTTAGGAACACAGTCCACATTACCGCACGCGAAAAGTGTGATAACATCACTTTTATTTATTTATACTTACTTAATTTGCTTCCCACTGACGTATTTCTTATCGAACATTTTTTTTGGAAATTCTCGTAAATATTTTACTGAAAATTAAAAAAAAACCTTGCTAACACGCGCACGACCTAACTAATTGCTGCTAAAGTACTAAAGGAAACAGTAGATTGATTTTGACAATATGATTTGGGGGCTCGTCTGGTTCATTCGTCACATCATCAACAAACCACTTTGTCAATTTGGAAGATTTAATACAATACTTCTGCAAGTTCATAAGTTCATGTTTATCGCCACGTAGAATCGAGCCCCTTTTTCACCACGTGGGGGTGAATAAGTTTAAAATTTACCAATAACGTTTTAATCCAATAAAAGAAATTGAATTATTTAAAAGCCCCAACAAATCTTGATATGTATTTCATTTTTTCCATAGCATCTAATTCAAATATCATTCAATCAACTCGTTCAAATGGAAAAAACCTCCAGTCGAGAAATTTTATTACTCTAATACACGAATAGAGTAGTTGTTGACCTATCATAAAATTTTTAATCAGCTGATTAAACACCAACGTCACGACAACACCTCCTAGTTCAAAAAACTAAAATTACATTTTTCAATATCACTTTCGTCATATTGAATTATTAACCAGTAGGGGCAATAAATCTTAAGAATGATAAGGTATCAATTTCACTTAATGTAGACCTTGAAAGTGGCACAGCACTTGATAGTATAACACCAGACAAGGTCGCAATAATGCACTCGCAGCATGAGGTAATAATAAAAAATGCTTTTATGCACTCTCATTTGGCTAACAATTTAGGGTGTAAGGTGTCCTAGGTTAGGTTTCGCGTACGGCGGCATAGATAAAACAACTCCTCTCTAGTTATAATTAGCACCCTTTAGTAACTGACGTCACAAAAGCTATAAAAAATACATTCAAAAATAAGTGAATCGATGTGTGCTATTAATAAATACATTCAATATTTGCCAATTAAGTAACCACACATTCAATTGATTTTTTTCAGAAATAAAGTAGCTAATTAAAATGACAAGGGTTATGGATGGTACCGACGCTGCTACAAAGTAATAAGCAATTTTATTAGCACCGACGTAAATAATTATAAGCTTTATTAATATTTCATAACACTTTGCGATGTTTTTATCTTTATTAATCGATGTAACATGAGCCAAAAATAAAAAATTCATAATGTGCTGATGTTGTTACTGTAAAAATAACCTACTAATTAAGCGATTAACAAAAAATAATTACAAAAATTTATTTATTTGTTCAATTTGTTGCTTTTGCTTCTGGTCATTGCATATTCTCGAATATTTTTCTGCAGCCAGTTTATTGTCTTTCCTTTTTGTGGCCAGAAGATTGCAGAGTATTCAAAACACTAATTAAAAATATTTACAATTTCATTACGTTATTGGTTTAAAGCCCCCAATAAAATAAATAAATATTTGATTACTTTTACACAAGTGTGTACTATCACGGTCAAAAAAAGAACATCAATAGTCTTCAAAAAGTGTCAAAATCGTGATGTCCTATTTAATAACAGCTTTGTTTTGATTTCGGTTATTTGAGGTATTGCGTTAGAATTTTTTGCAGTATCCCTGAAACATATAAGTAAATTTTTTAAATTAAATTGAGGTTACTGATTATTGTCGACCCCATTTTGTAAGTATGTAAGTAAAATCATATATAAAATTGACTAGATCTAGCATCATTAATCGTTTTTGTTGAACACTACAAAATCAGTTTCGGTGTGCGAAAAGCTTGCCAAATTTCTATCACCTACAAGGTTAGTGGAAATTTACTTGTATCTCAAAATAATATCAGGAACTGAACGCAAATTGAGAAATGTCTAAAACATTGGTGTTTTATCACAACCCAGTGACACTAGGAGAAATTTTTTGCGAACCGACGCCAGCCAGAAATAAAAAAAAAAACAACGTATTCCTCAACACTGGCAAAATCGTTACTGCATTTTTTGAGGTGATATAAGTCTCAAAATTCCACCGATTGTAAACCACTGGTCTACACGGTATTAAATTTTAATTTCAAGTCATGCATTTCAAATGAGTTTACAATTCATAAATATTATTTACAGGATCTAGCTAAAACCAGATGATCTGGTCCGAAGCTCTCAGAACCCTTGGAATTGGCCACTGTTTATCATCTTAATGATAATCGGGGGTTAAAGACTAGTTAAGCTTGTGATTACAACGCGATTTATAAGCACTTAATTTTGTCAATATTTTGATTACGGAACAAAATTTCATTCCTACTAAATAAATTACAAGATTTAATAATCGTTAAGAGTCATCTGTAGCTCGTTACGTAAATGACATGCTTTGCAAGGAGTAATAATTTGACGAATTTACTTTTAAACAATACGAGATATAAGACAAATGTACGTTTAAGATGTCTGATAAGAATTTTTAWKAGATCATTTCTTACGTAAAACAGAAATAAAAATATTTAGAGCAGAAAATGTTATTAGAAGCGCCAGTGTAAATTAAAACGGACAGAGGATGCAAGTGTTGTTATTTAAATTTTTTACAAATAATATCACTTGGGTTATCGTCGTCTGACACACTAATCTGGAGTTCCGAGTGAGTTTCTTGACATTTCACCATTAAAAATTCCTGGCGAACTCTCCTCACATGACGTTATCTGTTTTGAAACTTTCCTCTTGAAGGTGAAAAGGAGTAACCAGGAAAAAGAAAATCTCAGGGTAGGTAAATAAAGTTCAAGAGCTGAAATTAAAATAATTCAGGATTTTTTGTAATGAAAAATTCGTAGTTAAGCCACTAGCAAATAAAATATCAAAACAATAATTAATCTCGCGTTAAGGATAACGTATCAATTGCCTTGACTTAATTGACTACAACAGTGATTTCTCTCAATTGTTTCATCAATGGCTAATTAATACCTTTTTTTAATTTCGCTATTATAAATCACTGTCCATGGCAGAATTCCATAAGAAAATAGGAAGTTAATACCTGACCTGAATTAAACATAAAACCTCTCTAAAATTCCTTAAACAAATACAGTATCCGCTTTTTTGCCAACATAAATTACATGAGTAAAACCACAGTTGTGTGAATTTTTTAAATTCGATTTATAAAGGAAGCGAATTTGCAGACTTGC